TGGTCACCAACAGCCAGGACCTGGGGAGGCTAGAAGAGAAAAGGTGAGGCTCAGCAGCCTTCTAGCCGCGCTTCCATCCGCCACTACCAGGTTCAGCAATCCTGTACCCTGGGTCCATGGATATATCTAGAATGGAGGGTTCTGGGACCTAGGCGTGAGAGTGTGACCTCCCCCGAAGTGGGGGGGTGGAACGACTATGGTACTCCAGGTGTAGCCCAGGCTGAGCTCTTGCCTTCCAAGTGCTGAGATTACTAGGCCTAAATTTTTTTTTATTATTTTTTTAAATTAAGACTGTTTTGGAAAGCTGGAGAGATGGCTTCGTAGTTAAGAGCACTTGTTGCTTTTGTAGAGTACCTGGGTTTGGTTCCCAGAACATAATTAATTGTTCCTAGCCATTGTAATTCCAGTTCCAGGGGATCTGTTGCCTTCTTCTGGTTTCCCTGGCAGCAGGCAAGTACATGATGCACATGCAGGCAAAACACTCATACACACAAAATAAACCATTTTTTTAAAAAAAAATTTTAAAGAATGTTTGATTTAAAAAAAAAATGCTTGTCAATGGAGCAGTTGCTTCTAATCCCAACACTTGGAAAGTGAAGCCAAGGAGACCTTCAGGATTATCCTCATCTACATAGAGAAGTACAGGCTAGCCTGATCTACTTAAGACTCTGCCTCATGGAAACAAAAATGAATGATTATTGTTGTTACAAAGTTGTTTGATGATTGATTAAGAAAGAGTTTCAGTCCTTAGACTTCCCGGCCTGGAACTCACAATGGCCTGGAACTCACAACGTAACTCAGGCTGGCTTCAGACTTTCAGGAATTCTCTTTTCTTAGCCTCTTGAGTGCTGGGATTACAGGCATGAACCACTGTGCCTGGCTTGAAGGAATTATTTTTTAAAAAATTATTAAAGGAGCCGGGCAGTGGTGACACAGGCCTTTAATCCCAGCACTCGGCAGGCAGTCAGGGCAACACAGAGAAACTCTGTCCCAAAAATAAATAAATAAATTCGATTTTTTTTTTTCTCCTGAGACAGGGTTTCTCTATAGCTTTGGATCCTGTCCTAGAACTAGCTCTTGTAGACCAGGCTGGGCTCGAACTCACAGAGATCCGCCTGTCTCTACTTCCTGAGTGCTGGGATTAGAGGTGTGCGCCACCACCGCCTGGCTTTCAAGAAATAATTTTAATTACAATGATTCGCAACCTACAAAAAAGTGCCCAAGCATTCTTCAACAGCAGACTGGGAGTCAGGTTTGGTAACATTTATCTGTAATCCCCGCACTCAGCAGGCCAAGGCAAGTGAATTGCCAAATGAGGATTGTCACAGAATTAAGAAGATCTCAAACAAGAAAATAGTAGAATGGGTTGATTGTATATTCATAATGGACTGCTGCTCTGTAGTAAGAAAGGAAGCAGTATCCATAACAACAGATGAATATGTTTAGTATTATGGGAAGGAAGCCAAAAAGAACATACTGCAAGATTCCAGAGTTGGAAGGCAAAAACAGACAAAATTGATAGCAGTTCAAGTCAGAATAAAGGCTTATGTCTCTAGTGAATTGGGAAGGGGCGGGGAGGAACCTTGTGTGCTGGAGAGTGTTCTGTAGCGGTTGTGTTTGTACATGCCTGTGTGGATACAATCATCAAGACATGTATATGAACCCTGGGGTACCCCACGTCCCCCAGTTCATGTATGTGACATCCTAGAAGATTCTCAAACAGATGTTTCATCTTCGTCTTCTGAAGACCACATCCCTCATGCAGGCAGATCCACTAGAACTCAGTTGTAGGGACCAGGATGCTCACCTACCTATGATGCTGTAGATGGCACTGTTCCCATGCCCGCCATTCCGGGCACTGCCTCCTCCACTGAGCGTTCTGCTCTTCCCTCCAAGGGCTCTACTGTCTTTCCTCTCACACCCTTCCTGCAAAGGAGCCCACCCATTCTTACATCCAGGATCCTTCTCAACTCTTGTCCTATCCTCCCACCTGTGGCTCTCACCCTTCCCCTCCTGGGACTTCACGTATCTCACTGTCTTCTCTATTTTAACTGACTCTGAATTCGGGCGTGGTGCCCTTCTGGGGACAATGCAGTTGTCATCAAGAACTTCACCCACTTTCTCAGCCATCTGATGCCTAACCGTTCCATCTTCATAGGCTGCCACGATACTGTCCAGGGTGGATTTTCCTCAGGGTTCTGTGCCTTTCTGTTCTTAATTGATTCCAGCCTCTTTATGGCCTCCCTCTGTTCCCACTGATTCACACCTTGAGGCTGCTCTCAGCTCTACCTCTCTTTCCTAATGGGCTCCAGAGAGTTCTGCTTGCCTTCTGCCATTTCCTCATGGATATATATTGCCATGGCCACCCAGCGCCTAGCCTCCTCCTATCAGCATGCTGCTTTGATCTTGGGGCGGCTGCCTTCCCTTCCCACTTTGTCAGTCTCTCTATGTGGACTGGGGCATATGATCAACTCTTTTACACTTCTACTGGGTCTGTGTTCTTTGTACCTGGGAGTGTGAGGGGGGGAAACTCTGGGAAATTAAGAGATAAAGATGATTTCCTTTTTCAGGGAATAGACCTTGTGGTAGTTAGTGACTTTTTTCCCTTTATGTTTAATCCATTTATTTTGTGTACAGTGGATGATCATGCCGTGGCACACATCTGGAGGCCAGAAGTTAACCTGTGGGAGTCAGTTCTTTCCGTCCACCATCTGGGATCCAGACTCAAACTTAGGTTGTCAGGCTGAGTGGTGATGTTCTTTACCTGCTAAGCACCTTCCCCACTGAGTCATCTCCCTGGCCCTGTTGTGGTTAGTATTGTCTCCTTCACAGAATCTAGAATCATCTGGGAAATGGGCCTCTGGGAAGTTTTGATTTCAGCTGTTGAGGTGAGAAGAACTGCCCACTGTGGCTGGCACCATCCTCTGTGGGATCGTGTGAACACCCGGAGCAGCAGCTTGCCCTCAATGCCCTCTGCTTCCTGATCCTGCAGTGCAGAGCTGCTTCGGCTCCTGCTTCCCTGACTCCCCCACCATGATGGACAGCACCTTGAACTTCAGTTCTCTCTCTACCATTAGTTGTTTTTGTTAAGAGTAGTTCGTCATAGCAACAAGAAAAGAAATTAAGCTAGGGGAGTGTAAAACAGTACCACTTCCTTTACTCTCCAGTCAAAAGTTGTGGATGCACACCTTCAGTCCCAGCACTCAAGAGCAGAGGCAAACAGATCTCGGCTGAGTTGGAGGCCAGCTGGTCTACCTAGTGAGCTCCAGGCCAGCCAAGACTACATACATAGTAAGACTTTGCCTCAAAATACAAAGAAACAAAAAGTTGGCGAACTCTGTCCCAATAGCAAATCCACTGCTGAAACTGTTATTCACAGCCCTTGGAGGTAAGGCCATGCTCCCACAAAGACTGCTACATTAGCAGACAACTGTTAGGATATTGTTAGGTGCTGTGGTCTTCCCTGGGGCCTTTTCAGTAAAGTCAAACAAGACCCACTTGAGCAGAGCTCACAGAAGAAGGAGAAAATAGCTTGACTGGAGAGGGCCTTCTGCCTGAGGCCAGTAATCTAATATGGCTGAGAGATAATGGAGAGCCAGTTCTCTGCTTTAAACTACAGTGAACTCAAGCAAAGAGGGAGGCGGGAAACTCAGAGGGAGGGCGGTCTGGGGCCTGCCTGCTCTTGACTCCTCGGCCCTCCTGTGTCCTCTCCATGGAAACATCTATTATAAGCAGTCTTTGGTGTGTGTTGGGGGGATGCAGCTTGAGTAGGAAAGGGCCAAGGAGCTAGGGGCCTGCACTGCCCATTGGCAGAGGCCCTGGCTAGAGCCCTCCTTCCAAGCCTGCACTCCTGTGATGGGAGGAACAGTGGAGCCTGTTGCTAAGAGACAACTCTCATCCCCCCTCCCCACCACCATCAGGGAATCCATTCTAGAATTACAACTTCCAATGAGGTCTCTGGCCTTGGGTACTGGGGATAAAGAAGGCAAGCTGATAGAGAGCCCTCCTGAGGATCAAGGCCAGTGTATTGCTAGAGAAGCCTGGAAAACACGAGGGACCCCTAAGACTGTGCCCTCTCCGTGCCCAAACAGGCTTCAGTTCTCTCACAAATCGCCTCAGAGCACTAAGGATGCAGACTGAGGATCAGAGCAGTTGGCTGGGGAGGTCAGAATCCTCGCTACTATCAGAGGTGTGGGCTGTGGATAGGTGTTTTCCCTCCCTTCCCCTCTCCAGCTGGGGAGTTACTTTGTTCTTTCAGCCATCCGTTCCCCCCCCCTCGTCCTATTCTGGGTGCAGGACCCGGAAGACTAGATTACTACTTCATCAGACACAGCACAGTACTGTGTGCGGCTAGATGTGTTTCGGGATGAGGATGTGAGCTCGCTTCTTCTGGAGGCAGGACAGCTACCGCGTAAGTCTGTGATGGATGGCTGTGTTGGGACGAACAGGGAAAACGGTCTAAATTATTCAGCAGTTAAGCAGAAAGCTGTGTGTGTTTAATAAACTGCTATACTGTACTGCCCCTCTATAAACTGCTATACTCTACTGCCCCTCTATAAACTGCTATACTGTACTGCCCCTCTATAAACTGCTATACTGTACTGCCCCTCTATAAACTGCTATACTCTACTGCCCCTCTATAAACTGCTATACTCTACTGCCCCTCTACTCTAGTTCTTGGTCAGACTCCCGATTTTCTCTTAGAGAACGGTTTCCCTCCAACTCTGAGTTGGTAGAGCTGCCCTCAGCCCCTGGCTCCAGGGAAGCACATGTGGTTTTGCTCTCTTCTAAGAGGCCTAGCTATCTGGACAGAAATAAGCACGTTTCCTACTTCTGGTTAACACAGGCACCCCAGGCCCTGTGTGCGCCGTTGGCAGGACAGGAACCTGGGGCTTATGGTGGCCTTAGAGTCTTTTTCTGTGGGGCAGAAGAAAAGGACTTGTGATGTCACTTGAACAGTGAAGCTTTTGCTCAGTACATAGATCTTTCTGACAGCATGGTATCTGTGACTGCAGGCTCCTGGGTGCCAGGGCATGTGTGTAACTGCAGGCACCTATGTGTGCAGAGGGCAGAGGAAAACTTTCAGGAGCAGGTCCTTGCCTTTCCAGTTTCTTTTCTATTTTGCATGCACATCGAGGTCCCAAGGTAATGATGAGATCATCCTTCATCCATCTCCCACCATATTCATTGAGGCAGGGGCTCTCAGTCCAACCCGGAACTCACGGACATGCCTAGTCTTGCTGGCCAGCCTGCTCTGGGGAGCCCCCTATCTCTGCCTTCTGAGGCTGGAATTACAGGCAGGGAATCATGACCACCTGGCGTTTATGTGGGAGATCTAAACGTCAGTCCTGACATTTGTGCCGAGAGCACTTTAACCACGAAGCTGTCCCTCCGCCTTCTACCTTATTTTAAGGCAGGTTTACTCCTTGTTTTTTGTGGCTGTGTAAGTTAGGCTAGCTGGTTTCCGGGACAGTCCTCCCGTCTCCACCTCCTACTTGGTGGTAAGAAGGCTGGGATGACCGATGAGTACAATGGCATCCAGCTTTGACTCAGATTCTCAGGCTTACATGTAAAGGGCTTTCACCCACCCACCCATCTCTCTAGCTTGTGTTTTTGGTCTTGTTTTTCACCTGACTCATTTGAACCTGTTGCCAATCTCTAGTAATGACACAAAATCAGTGGTTCCCAATTTGTGGGTCGAGACCCCTTGGAGATCAAATGACCCTTTCATGGGGGTTGCCTAAAACCATCAGAAAACACAAATATTTACATTACAATTTGTAACAGTAGCTAAATTACAGTTATGAAGTAGCAATGAAATAATTTTATGGTGTGTGTAGGGGGGGGGGTCACCACAACAGGAGGAACTATCTATTAAAGGGTCCAGCATTAGGAAGGCTGAGAACCACTGTTCTAGTGTCAATAACAGATTCTGAACCAGCAGCCTGGTTTCCTTTAATGTTGCCCCGCTCCTCCCAGCTACAACACTGGCCATCTTGGCTTTTCTCTTTAGGATGCTTTCTGCCCCAACATCCTTCCATGCTACGTGCTCTTCCGAGCCAAGGCCTGCTCACACCCGTGCTGCTGGGCTAGCCTAGTCTCACAGCTCTCTGCCATCCTCTGCAAGGACAGGGGCCCTCCCTTTCCTTTCCCTTTTCCTCTCACTCTTGTCCAGGCTGAGCTGGCCTGCTACCTGGGCTTCTCCTGCATCACTGTCTAGAGTGCTGGAGTTTCAGGCATTTGCCTCCACACTCTGCTCCAGACCTGTCTTATGGTAGATGGTTTCTCTTCACAGCTCCTTTCTTATCCCCCCCCCCCCCCCGCCACTGCCTGCCTTACCCGCTACAGCCAAATTCAGGTCCTGTCTGGCCTCTATGCGCTCTTGCAAATTTGAAAGTGAAAACTGACCTGGTTTCTTCACCTGAGTTTCTTGGATTGCAGGGTTTGGACACTTCCCTGCTATTTTTCAATCATCTGTGTCTCTTTAGTGATCTGACTATATACTGTGCTATTTGGGGGGGGGTTAAACTATATCTTATCTATCGTGTGTGTGTATATGCCGGAAGGGGTGCATATCTGCCATAATGTACATGGAGGGACTAAACTCAGACTGTAGGGCTAGCAGCACATGCTATTGCCTACTGACGATCTTGACGATCTAGGTTTGTTTGTTTCTGAGACAAGGTTTCTCTGTGTAACAACACCTGGCTGTCCTGGAACTGGCTCTAGACCAGGCTGGCCTTGAACTCACAGAGATCTACCTGCCTCTGCCAAAGTGGTAGGTTTAAAGGCCTATACCACCATTGCCCAATTGGATCTAGGTTTGTTTTTTGAGACAGGGTCTCACCATCTAGTCCAGGCTGGTCTCACCCTCGCCATAGTCCTCTGGCTTCAGCGTGAGAAGCGCCGGGATTACAGGCACTACCTGTCATGCCCAGACCAATTTTGCTCATTTTTACACTGAACATTCGTATTTCTTTATTGATTTGCAAAGGCTTTTAATAATATTGATCTCTTGTACTGCAAATATTTTTCTCAAGTATGCTGATTGGCTTTTACTTTGTTTTTTATTGATATGTTGAAAGTACACCTCAGTAAAATTTGAATGATTTCTGCTTTTGTTGTTATGCTTAGGAAGTCTGTTCCAGCCAAAGGCTATAACCAATTATGCATTTGTTCTTTTAATACTTCAGACTTTATTTTTTGTAGAATATTTAAATTTTTAAAATTTTTACTTTATGATTGTGGTTGATATGTAAAATGAGAAAATTTTAAATAAAAATTACTTTATGTGTATGAGTGTTTTGTCTGTATTTATGTTTCTGCACTACCTATGTCGCTGGTGCCTACAGAGGCCAGAAGAGGGTGTTAGACTCTCCCAGAACTGGACACAGATGTGGCCCACTCTGTGGGTACTGACAATCAAACCTAGGGCCTCTGGAAGAACAGTGAGTGCTCCTAATCACTAAACCATCGTGCTAGCCCCCAGAATATATTTTAAATAGGGGTTTTGTTTTATTTTATTTTTTGGTTTTTCAAGACGGAGTTTCTCTGTGTAGACCTGGCTGTCCTGGAACTCACTCTGTAGATCAGGCTGGTCTCAAACTCAAAGATCCGCCTGCCTCTGTCTCTTCAGTGCTAGGGTTAAAGGCGTGGACTATCACTACCCTTAAATAAGGGTTTTAATCAGCTAACCCTGCTACCACATCTGACAAAAACCGGGAACTGTGCAGATACACCAGGCTGAATGTGTCCCTTTTTCACATTTAGATTTTTCCCCACACTTAGATCCATCAAGAGGATTTTTTTTCTTCTGTTTCCTTAAAAAAAAAAAAGATCTACTTCATCTTAATTTATGTTTGTAGGAATTTATGTCTGTGTGTAGGAATAAGCATGAGAGTCCAGGTGCCTGGGAAACCAGATTCTCTGAAGCCAGAATTAAAGGTGATTATGAGCTGCCCAACATGGGTGCCAGGAACCAAACTCTGCTCCTCTGGAAGGTCAGTGAACACTCTTAATTGATGGGTCATCTCTGCACCCCCTTTTCCCCTTTTCTCTTTTTTTTTTTAAATATTTTTTATGGTTTATTTAACTTTATTTTATGTGCATTGGTGTGAAGATGTCAGACCCCCTGCAACTGGATCTTCAGACAGTTGTGAGCTGCCATGTGGGTGCTGGGAATTGAACCCAGGACCTCTGGAAGAGCAGTCAGTACTCTTAACCACTGAGCCATCTCTCCAGCCCCTCCCCTTTTCTCTTTTGAGACAGGGTTTCGTGGAGCCAAGGTTGACCTCCAATTCCTGACATCCTTGCCTCCATCTCCAAAGTGCTAAGATGACAGGACTTCTAGGTCACACCCAACTTAACCGACTAACCACTTTCTTTCATTTTAAACAAATATTTGGTAATTAATGTTGGCGACTAGCTCACTTGGTAAAGTACATGTCTCACATAAGGCTGGATTCAATTCCCAGCATCATACAATAAATTGAAGGCCATTAAATACAATTAGTTGTGCCACTATCACTGTCCTTCCGTTAGGTACACTAAAATCTAAAGACTAGTCAAACAAGTAATTAAAAAATGGTGTTCTAGAAAACACACACAGAGAGACAGAGAGAGAACAAGAACACTATGAGAAGAGGGATGTGACTTGCATGCAGATAATTCTTTTCCAATAATGAAGATACTACTAGGTACAACTCTTGGCTCAAAATCTTTAAAATCTGAATGAGCTGAGTGCTTTTCTAGGAAAATATAAAGCTTCAAACTGACTCAAGAAGAAAGAGAAGACTTTAAACAGGGCATAGTAGCATGGTAAATCCCAGCACTTGGAAGGCAGTGGCAAGTGCACATTTGTGAGTTCAAGGCCAGCTTGGTCTACAGAGCAAGTTCCAGAACAAACCATGCTTTAAATAAAGAGAGAGGGGGGAGAGAGAGAGGGAGAGAGAGAGAGAGAGAGAGAAACGAAGACCTGAATAGATTCGCTGTAATAGGCAAGACAGATGAAGCTAGCCATTGTGAAGCAGGTTCCTCTGAAATTGAAACATTCTATCCTGGGGTGTGGGGGTGAGGCTTTAAACTAGAAGGTAAACAGCTCAAAATAGCGCTAGTAAATTCTGAAACTGACCAGATTCATTAGGCTCCGCCCTCCCAAGAATAAACAACAAAAACTGCTGCGTCATTCTCAGACTAGCACGATAAAAGACCTGGAGACCCCACCAGCGGCCCGGAAGAGGTTTAGACCAATTGAGTCACTTGGAAAGGGCACTCTCCAACCTGTTGAGCTGTTTGCAGGCTGTGCAGTGTGCTCCAGGTCCCCAGCTTTGTGAGCTGTCACTCATGCTGGGGTGGGCTTTGGTAATGTAGCTGTCTGGGAGTCATCTATGCTCCTGTGAGTAACCCTTCATCCATATTTCTGTAAGTAACCCCAATAAGTCCCACTCGTTCACTAAGTTGGATTTTGGTGGTATCCATAGTTTGATCTGTTGTTGACTCCCTATCAGGGGTGTGTAGC